GAGTGTGGCCAATAAAAATGTTCTTGTTTGCATTACATTTATTATTAAGGATATAGAGGGTTGTATTAAATTAGGTTAATTTAGTTTGGATTAGATTTTATTGTACATTATATAATTTAGTTTAGGTTGTCAGGCTCGTGTATGTTATGATTGAAATGAACATATTTTGTTAGTTTCTCTGTTTAGGCATCCTTCACAGCTTCTGGATTTTCACAGTGGGTTAGAGTAGACGAGAATATATACTATATAAAGGCATTCAATTGGGAAAGCACACCTGTCTGTCAAGTTACACAAACTCTTTACGTGTACCCCAAATTATAGGCCCACAGGTGACGAGGAAGACCAGGGTCCAGTATAATATTTGTTATCTTGTAGAATATGTTGGATGCATAGATTTATAACCATCCACCTCACTGTTCTTTTCTGCTTACCTTCCTTCTTTTCTGTTGTCCCTGTGTTCGTAATCTACTGGACACAGACACTAAGAACTTGTTTGAAAGTATTGTATTATGCATTTAATTTCCTTTTTATATTTGATTGAATACTTAATTTCGACGGACATTTCTCAACTGAATTGTTTCAGAGATGCCGAGGAAGGCGAAAGAGGTCGCAGGCACAGCCCACCCATTTTTGACCGTGAGATACTGAAACAATGAATATATAGCTGAATTTGACATGATTGTCCTAATGTAATGTAAATATATTGTATTTGTATTAATTGATAAGTTTCATGTATCACCAGGCCCCCAAAGTATAAACCCCTCCGCAGCCAGGAAATGTTTGGAGGACGGGTAGTCCACTGGCTCCCATTCTCCTGCAAACAAGGTGAGCTTTTTTATTTCCCACACTGAGGCACATCTATAAAATACAATATTTTTCTGATGTTCTTTCTTCCATGTGGCATCTATTGCACTTCTGTCCGTCCTGGGAGGGGGACATGTGGCTCTCTGTGATTTGTGAATATGGGCTATACAAATACAATTTGGTTGACTTTGATATATTTTGTAGGTAACCAATAAGTGTCAGGTCCCTCCCACCAGGAGCCATTTTAACAAGCTCTGATAGTATTTGAGAAGGTTTGTAATCACAGTATCTCACTACTGTGTGGAGTTCACATTAAAAAGCACATTCATAAGGTAACACTGTAGTGACATCTTTTATCCTCAGTGAGCCTGTTGATTCATTCAGCTTAAAATCATTCTTCCAGGTGTCTTGAATCATTTAAAAAGATAGAAGATATGAGAGTTGGCTTTCAAACATCTGGGCGATATATCCTCAAAATTATATCACGATATTTCAGTGACATTTGCGATAACGATATGTATGACAATATAAAAATAATTACTAAACACAGTTTATTGGCGATTGCTGCTTGCAGGCAGCAGTGCAAACAGAGGGAATTTTCCATAATTCTATTCCAATGAGCTACTGTCATTGATGAATTATGACGGCAGTGTAGATCTATTGCCACAAGGTGTGAGCAGTAGTAGCATTATAGTGCAACAGCAGCAGTGACACAGCATCAAATGTAAGTACAAAAGTAGCACAACATAAACACAATTTAAAATTGATCTCAAATTTTAAGTGAAAATGTTCACAAACAGCAGCAATCCAAACAAGCCTGAGTTTAAAATGTAAACACTCACTGCTTATAAAAATAAATAAAAATGCTGTTAAAACTTAAATATCAGTTCAAGTAGCTGTGTTGTTCAGCTGTGATCTTCCTCTCTGTTGCTGTGCCCTTGAAAACGCCTCCAAGGATCTTCTTTGGTCTCTTGGAGGCTCCTTGGGTCAGTTGGGTGTCTTCTGCTTGTTCCAAGAGATAGAAGGGATTCCACTTGTCCAACTGCTCTGGCTTGGATGGCTTCGCTCTCACTTTGGCTCATGTATTCAGTGCAGACGCATGGGTCAAGCAGAGTTGCCAGATTAATCAGTTCTCTAGTCATGGTGTCTCCATTCTTGCTGTTCATGGAGTCCAGTACTGACTTTTTAATTGTCTTTGTGAGGTCTGTGTAATCTCCTTTGCTTGTAGGATGTTACTACTGTTGTGATTATACTCCCTTAAGCATGGCACCATTAAATGGGCATAAATAAATAAATAAATACATATAAATACCACCCTTCAAAAGGACGGGAAAAGATAGCCAATTTATTGATTAAGTCTAAGAAATTACTGACTGCAAATTTGGAACTCCGATTAATAATTAAACAAATAACTATAACCAAAATGACCACATCAGTAGGTAGCAAAGATCAACTATCACGTACATGTGAGATCACATGTACGTGATAAGTTTGTGGAGATGAGTGTGTGAGTTGTTGGTGCCAGGTTAAAGAAAGTAGTTAGATGCATGCAAAGAAAGTGATCAGCATAACAGAACTAACATTAACTTTCAAATAACATATTACAAAATATCACAACACAAGTCAAACTTATAAACATCACATGAAATAGAAATAGGATTAAACAGTCCATTGCTTAGCCTACCGTAACCAAGACCAGTTGTGTTACCCGTCCATGAAAAAGGGGGAAAGATCGTTTTTGATGTGCTGTTCGAAGTCCAGTGAAGTGGTCTTTTTGGTTTGTGACCTCTGTTGTGCATCTGCTGGTCAGACCTTGTGTCTTGTGTCTATCTTGTTCTGAAAAAACAATGACCTCACTCTCTGAAATAGTAATTATTGTGTAGGTGCTCTTTGAAAACAGCCTTATGGTGGATCGCGAATCAGAGATCGTGATCACAATGGCGGCTCCTGTATCGTGCTGGCATCTGATAGCAGCGGTGGACCATGATGGAGTTGGCAGCTGATGGTGGATCCTGATGGCTGCAGTGGATCATGTCGATGGATAGGGCAGAGGATGTAACATCTTGTTAAAGCCCTATGAGACATATTGTGATTTGTGAATATGGGCTAAACAAATACAATTTGTTCGACTGATTGATTGATGTGTTGACTGACTATTTCTTAGACCACTCCCACTATTTCTTGTTCAGTAAGAGAAGTGAGCTCTAGCTTGTCCTGCCAAGATTAAATTGGGACTTGTATTGTTTGGTTTTGTTTGACATTGCTGCTTTTAACAATCACTCCATACCGATTTTTGAACTGCCCCTCGGAAGAATAAACATGTAATAGGATGTCTGCTTTTTATTAAAAACTTTTTTTGCCATTTGCTGCTCATCAGAATTCACATATTTGATTGACGAAGTAGCATCACGTGAGATGAGTTGCAATGCATACTAGCGGTTTGTGACTTTCCTGGGCTTCTAAACCAGTGCTGTGCTGACTGTTGTAGAAAATACACATTAAATGAGCTTTAAATGAATTGAAAATTTTATTATTGCGAAAAAATGTGCATAAGCCATCATTTTGACATTTGACTCAATGCCACCAGTCTTTGCATCTTTATTAAGTACTTGTCAGTATCCTCAGCATCCGATGTGTAACTGACAAGAGTACCAGTTTTCAGGTTCTTTCTCTTCTTTAACTAGAGAGGACAGGGTCCTGTTGGGATTCAATGATTTGAGTCTGTGGAAGCGCTTTATTCTCTCCCAGTTTAACATTTGCTGTTGCTGCTGTTAGCACGGACTGTGCTCTTCCTCCTGCCTCATCCTCTTCCTTAACTGCTCACCAATATCAGCCAGAGGGTTCGTTTTTCCACAGAGTGTCTTTATAACGTCACTGAAGCGGCTGCTCTCGGTTTCTCTGTAATAACAGCAAAACATACCACTTTTAAGAGGTTTGGAAATTCACTGCTATTTGTGTAGGAATTTGGAATGAACCACAGAGTGAAGAAAAAAGGAGAAAAAAGCTGCTTACAGGAGTTTGCGTTTTTGTGACTGCTTCATCTGACTGAAATCGGTTGGCTCAGGCCTCTTCACTGGCCTGACGAGAGAGGGGACACAGGAAAATGATAACAGAGAGAACTAAGACATGGAATATGACATCATACAGATGTCTTTAACATGTGTATTGAAGACTGATACATTTAGGATACATATGAACAAACTGTTAATGGGATATGATTTGCCTCTATTACAATGCTGTGAGAAATAATTAATGATCAAACTGCTCTCATTCTAGGAGCATCAAATGTCACCACTTTGTCAGACCCCTTAGTGTCTCCTACAGAGGCACAAAGCTTCCCATGCTCAAATTAAATAATGCTATTTCAGCCAATTCACTTATTAAGATTAAGATTCCTTTTCATCTTAATAACAGCCTCCTGAAACTACTAGTAGCTTTAGTGAGCTCCTAGTACCCCATGTGTATGGGAAAGCTGTGTGTTACAAAATTAATGTTAAATGTCAAATTGGGGGGTTAGAGTGTGATGTAATCAATATTCTGACATTGTTGTAATATTTTTGTTATGTTTTAATAACAGTGTCTAAGCAATGTTTTATATACTTTCTTTTACTTCTGACACATGGAGCTTCTCTGTCCTCTTCCCCCTCCTTATCACATTACAGAATTGAATGTCTCTTCATTACATACATTATTACTGTGCCCCTATGCCTTATCGTTTGCAGATCCAGGGTCGCAACTGCGGGCGGCCACATCGTGAATTAGGATGTTGGATCGCGAATCAGAGATCGTGATTGTAATGGCAGATTCTGTATCGTGCTGGCCGATCATAATAGTAATGGTGGATCCTGTATCGTGTTGGCATCTGATGGTGGATAGTGGTGGTGGACCATAATCGAGGTGGCAGGTGATCGTGGACTGATATACAATATGTCTACTCAGGTACTCTACCATTATTAACAATAATTCCACAATTATTGTACCTTCCATTACGCTACACACTGTTTATTCTAGTCAATGCTGTAACTACTTCTGATGCTCTCAATTACATGTGGCATCTATTGCACTTCTGTCCTCCCTGGGAGAGGGATCCTCACATGTGGCTGTCTGAGGTTTCTACGTTTTTTCCCCCTTTTTTTTGGGTAGTCTTATTCTTGTTGAGGGTTAAGAACAGAGGATGTCACACCTTGTTAAAGCCCTATGAGACAAATTGTGATTTGTGAATATGGGCTATAGAAATACAATTTTATTGAATTGAATACAGGTTTAGAATCTAAGAAAAAGTATTTCTACTGTTTAACAAAGTATAGCCTTTATCTGACATGATGATTTTTAGATTATTGTAAAGGTTAATTGAGATTTATGCTTTACTGAGGAGTAGAATTTTCGACAACTCTTCAGAAATGTGCACTGAATGCCAACTGCATTGAATCGACATAAACCTGACAGCCTGGGGTTTGCAACCAATGTCAAGGTGCATTACCATCTACTGTGCTGTTGCACTATTTCTGCAATACCAGGCAGATGCATAGATTTTCCAAATTCCTTTCCTTCTACTTCTGCTCGGCTTATTGGTGGGTGGCAACCAACATCAAGATGCATTACTGCCATTGGATCAGCCTCTTCTTACTGAATGCTCGACCAATCTCTCCACATCTCTGGTTTAGTTTTTTTAGTTTTTTCAAGGTGCATTACCACCATCTACTGATTTGTATTCTTCTTCTCCTGTGTGGTTTATTGGTGGCAACCAACGTCAAGGTGCATTACAGCCATCTACTGGATCTGCTTCTTCTTCTTCCCCTTCTTAGTCCATTGCCAATTGCACCCATCAGGGAGCATGGACTGGTTGATGTTCTTCTTCATTCTTTTCTACTTCTTCAGTCAAGTTATCAGAACTATGGATTTTAATTTCTTCCTTCTCTTCATCAGACACTGCTGCATCCTTCCCCATCTTCAGTACTGCATACTACCATTCCCTTCTGATTCCCCTCATGCTCCCCTTATATTCTGCATAGTATGAGTTCTTCTTAAGATCCTGAGAGCTTCTTTCCTCTCTTTCACTACTTTGCCAGTCATCTGTCCATCAAGGAACTGCCTTTGTCTTCATACTTCCTTTACTGCTAGAAATTGACTGCTTCACAGAGCATCTACAATTACTGTTTTAAAATGTTTATCAATCTCCTCAAAATCTCAATCTAAGTCTATTTTATCCATGTATTTCTCAAATATATACACTGGAAAAATTATCACTGCCTTCCTCTGATTCATCCCACTTGCATATTCCTGCTACATTCATTGATATCAAGGTAAGTTCTCGTGCTGATGTGTTCCCTGTGTGTACATCTAATCTAGTCCCTTTACCTTCATTTGGACAAACCATACCTTTTCCTTCTAGCAATTCTTCAAAAATCTCCCACTGTTTTCCCTCCCCACAATGCACTATGAGCATTAAAGTCTACACATACCAACACCCTGTTACAATCCAGCCCTTCAATTTGCTTATCCAACTCTTGAATTAAAAAATGATTGTAATAATTAATAACAAACTCTCACTCACTTGTCTGTATGTCTACTGTAATATATTCTTGCTCATTCCCTACACTTATCTCCCTAAATGACATATCTTCCCTTATAAATGTAGCACACCTACTCCTTCCCTCCTATCAAATCTAACAGTAGCATATCCAACTATTCTGAAATCCAAATTTAGTCCCAACCATGTTTTTACACAAATAACGTTGCAACAACAACTTTTCTGTATACGCAGTATGTGCTGCTGTCTGAAAACGCCTTTTTACTTTTTTTGTGTTATCCCTAGTCTTAAGGACAAAAAATGTGAGAATTATGGAGGACCATGCATGGAAGTCAACAGCTGACACTGACACTTGATGTCTACTGAGTGGCACTCACATTTTGTTTTTTCTGCTCATGCGACGAGCAGTGGAGATTGTGGCAGTAGTTGGGCCATTAAATGGACAGAGATCTGGCAGGGCGTCTACCAGCGGTCTCAGGTCTCCAACCACGGGCATGGCCTGCCTGTGGGCCTTGGCTGCCTGCTCCTGTTGGGCCTGTTTGATGAAGCTGATCTCTGACAGTACAAAGAGAGGGAGCAAATTACCTTGTAGAATAAACACCAAAATTAGAGATGAAGCCGTGGTGAATGTCAGTGTAATTCTTCAATTGGGTATTTAGCGTTTACAAAAGCTGTGTTCAAATACAGCTAATAAAGAGCCTCCCTGCGTCAGTGACCATAATAGAATCATCTGATAAATTTTACTTTTTGGTATAATCCAGGTAGATTTGAATGAAGACGGACTGATTGGCAGCTCATGAAGTGCCCCCAGTTTGACAGCAGCCTCCTGCAAATGGGATTATGGCAGTGGTTCTCAAACCTTTTCTGTCATGCCACACTTTGGAGGAAGAATATTTTTCATGCCCCACCTGTGCCCCAACAAAATGATGCTAAAATGGTTTGACTTAAAATAACATTCACATGAACATTACATTCAGTAATTTCTTTGCTACAAAGATAACAATAGAGTTCAACTTAATTTAAGTAGTTTTTGTGACATTTCTCACTACATTTCTCCATCAGTCTGTACTTTTTCAAAAATAGGGAAGAAATAAATTACGTTTACAATCACTTTGTGAATAAAGTTCAATCTGCAACCAAAAAGAACACATGCTGTTTTCCCTCCCCACAATGTGAGAACTCAAGCCATATCACTGCATAAGTGCAATGAGACAGTTTTGCACTGCACATCTTTTCAAAACAGGGTTGTAGGCTTGATAATGCCACTCTTAAGTCATGTTTAATGTTGAGCCTAGCCCTCTGCTCTATGAGTGGATGCTCCCTCTTCACACAAAGCCAGAATTCACTCAGTGTCTGTGCTGTAAACCTCAGCCTCAGGGTGGCGTCAGATGTCATCTCAATGAACTGGTCCTCTTCATTAGAGCTGAATTAGCTTACATTCATTATTGAGAGTGTCTGTGAATGCTAAATGTCTGATAAAGGGAACTAAAGCAATAAAAAAGTAGAGTAGGGTAGAAATACCCAGAAGCAAGGATGTCAAGTCAAACATTGGAATTTAATACATCCCTCCTGAAGTGCAGGGTGTTGATAAAAACTTACTTTTCAGCCACTTCTCCCTTCTCTCATTCATCTTTTCTTTCTTGGCTGGCTGACGCCCTATCAGAGCTCTGTCAGGACCTGTGACAATGAGAAAATGATAAGCATCATGGCAAATGTCAAAAAAAAGGAAAACAGATAAAGAATGTCTAATTTTTCCATGAACCATCACAGAGCAGATTACTGATTTTCAAGATGTTTAAAGAAAACAAAACTAAATAACATTACAGATATTCCGTTTTTTCTCTGTGGGCTGTGACGAAGCCTAATAAAACAACATCCAACTGGAATACTTAAAAAAATAGCAAATGTTAAAAAATCACAACAAACGAATGAGGACAGGGACAGAAAACAATTACAAAATTTGTGTTTAATGATTTAGTTTAGATTTAGTTTTAAGATGTTTTAAATGAATTATTCTCTGAGAAATCAATGAAAATGTTGAAAACATTCTCCTTTAGTTTTGTGTACTGCCAGTCATTACTGGCAGCATCAGGCAGCATCTGCAGCCCAATCAGGTTGCACAGGTAGTCCAGCTCCTCCAGGAAGGCACATTCACACGTGCGGTCGCAAGAGGGTTTGCTGTGTCTCCCAGCACAATCTCAAGGGCAAGGAGGAGATACCAGGACACCGGCAGTTACACAAGGAGAGCTGAACAGGGCTGTAGAAGGGAATCAACCCAGCAGCAGGACCAGTATCTGCTCCTTTGTGCGAGGAGGAACAGGAGGAGTGCCAGAGCCATACAAAATTACCTCCAGCAGGCTACAGGTGTGGATTGCAGGTATTCCTGTCAGAAACAGTCTCCATGAGGGTGGCATGGGATTGTTGGGATTAACCGGTTTTGCGATAGCCGCAGTTCGTATGTAATCGTAAGAATTTTAAAACTTACGATGTCTAACTATGGTGTCCTGCCTCTTGTGTGTGTGTGTGTGTGTGTGTGTGTGTGTCAGGAACAGCTGACACACACCCCCCTCTCTCTCTTCTTATTAACCATTATACAAGTAGCCGAGAATTTAATTCACCTATAATGAAAGGTAATAGTATAATAAGGACATGAAGAATGTGGCTTGAACCAGGACATGTTTAGTTTTTCAAAACTAGTCAAAATTCACTCCCATAACAGAACAACTTCTGTTGCTGACCCTACAAAATAAAACTCCCATACAGATACACAGCTTATGACAGGAGAACACAAATTTAGTGACCAACCTTCCACAATAAGGCAACTAAATAAAATAGCTTACATAAATKTCTTTTAAATAGATAAACGTTACACTATAAAAACTAACTGGATAAAGTTGATGAAAATAAGCTATATTATTAGCTATCTATTAGCTATATATTGCTTGTTGTGAGTCTTTTTTCTTCTATAGTATCGACAATCGTGGCACCAAAATTTCATATCATGACATCCCTAGTTGTGTGTCTTTTTCCTTCTATAGTGTCAATAACATATCGTAGAATATCGTGAAACCGTGATATTTCCTCTGACAATAATGGTGGCACCAGAATTTCATATCGTGACATCCCTAGGCCTGACAACCTCTAGTAGGTCCTGTGCTCACAGCCCAGCACCGTGCAGCTTGACTGGCATTTGCCAAAGAACATCAGAATAGGCAGGTCTGCCATTGGAGCCCTGTTCTCTTCAGTGGGCCCCGGGTTCTTCCTGGTGCAGGACAATGCCCGGCCTCATGTGGACAGAGTGTGTAGGCAGTTCCTTGATGACGAAGGCATCTATGCCATTGACTGGCCCTCTCGTTCCCCTGACCTAAATCCAATTGAGCGTCTATGGGACATTATGTATTGGTGCATCCAACGCCGCCAAGTACCGCCAAAGAGTGTGCAGGAGCTCAGTGATGCCCTGATCTAGGTCTGGGAGGAGATCCCCCAGGACACCATCAGCCAACTCATCAGAAGCATGCCCAGATATTGTTGTGTGTGCTTACAGGGATGTGGGTGCTTTCAGTGTATTTTAAGAGCTGTTGCTCATGCTTTTATGTAAATGGTTAAATGGTAAATGGTTTGTATTTATATAGAGCTTTTCTAGTCTTGATGACCACTCAAAGCACTTTACAGTACAGTTTGCCATTCATACCCACATTCTTACAGTGCATCTATTAGCAGCACTTTTTTGTTCTGTAAGGGGCAATACAGGGTTCAGCATCTTGCCGAAGGACACTTCGGCATGCAGATGGGAAAAGACTGGGGAATTGAACTGCCGACCTTCTGGTTGGAGGATGACCACTCTACCGCTCAGCCAAAGCTTGTGTCTCTATAGTTTTCACAACCACAATTTGTCCGTATTTTCAATGCTTTTATTCTTAACATATGCGCTTTTATTGCCTACCCAGGGACTTCAGATGAAAATTAGCCTCATTGGCTGACTGTGGCATATTTTCAGAAATGTTATTTATATGGATTAACTGACATTCGAGTGCATTAGAGACACCTTACAGCTGTGATTGGTAGTTTTTCATCGGGAGCTGTGTATTCTTGCAAACGGAATTCGAGGCAGGAGGAGCCAAAAGATTGTTTCACAGATTATCTGTCTTTTATACAGTAAGAGTTTGAAGATATAGTGACAGTTATTTAATGTAATATTATTTTCATAAATCCTATCTATTCAACCCTTAAATGTCAATTTCTTGATTTATTTGAGCAACTTTAAAGGGATAGTTCGCCGAAAAATGAAACTTCACTCATTATCTAATTGAAGTAACTGGTGACCGAGACTTCAGACGTAATAAAACAACAGAAAACACATAACATGCCTCCATGCTGCTTGTGTGATGTCATACAAGTGTCCGCAAGCCCCAACATTCACATTTGAATCAAAACGAGTTCATTTACACCATGTTTTTAGCTTAAGTTAGTTTCATTTTTGGGTGAACTACCCCTTTAATCCCTGACAGCAAGGATGCTGTTTGCAATTTTGCATTAATAATGATAAACGTCCAACATCTTACCTTCTCTGCCAAGTTTGGGTGTATCTGGAGTTTCCTTACACTTCAGGGTTTGTACCAGAGCTTCTGGGGTGATTTTAGTGCCAGCAAAGATTCCAGTCGGGAAGTGGCTCTCTGCCAGGGGCTGTGGGGTTATGTAAATTACAGATAAACATCATCTGTACTCCGTGCAACTTCATAATAAAACTCTACGAGTTAAATAAGTAGTTGAAATAGTTGTGTAATAATGGAATTCCACGCTGAAAGTACTTTGTAATTTCATAGAAATGTCTGGCATTGTGTGTGTATATGTAGCCTACAACGTGTTTAATGCATGTATTCCAGTGCAGTGTTCCCTCGTCTACGGCCCCTTAGAATCCTCCAGTGTTGGACAGATCTCATTAACACACCCCAGCCACAACCCTAACCATAAACTTTCATGCTGGCAAAATTGAGCCAAAAACAGATCATTTTAATTAATTGTAAAATCCACGTCCACCTCAATTGAACCTGCTTTTGTTTTTTGCAAATAAGTTATGTTCATGGATAAACGGGATTTGACTTTGATTTTAGGTGTGGTTTTGAATCCTGCCCTTAATGGGTTGATGATTTTGTTTCCATTGACCGTTGTTATGTCATTTTGTTCTCAACAAATTACACAATGTTCAATCAGTAAAGATTTTAAAGTTGAACAATTCATTCATCAAGATCTGATGTGTGATTTCATTGTTCCATTCATTTTTTGGAGCAGTGTATTATGCACGGCTCACTGGCTCACTGTACTATACAATATGTGCTTTGCTCCGCACCATGCTGCATTTTGTTGTTTATTTGTAATGCATTACTTGTGATTTTTATCTGCCTATTCTTGTTCCTGTTCTGTTTTGTGTCTGCAGGTTCTGCTGCGCCACACACATGCACGCATGCAAACACACTCGATTAGTCTTATAATGTCCATTCACTAATAACCTATTCGTAATATCTAAGCAGACATATGTTTATTACAGGAAACACACCTTTCAGAATCTGACTACACTACATTTAAATCACCAAAAATGAATACTCTATTCTCAGCTCACAACAATGTTCAACACGCCACCATTCCAGATCCAGGGGGAAGTTTGTAATTACAGAAATATTTATCAATTTTTTAACTTTTACTCATTAGAAAAGGACCCAAATCAGGAAGACGTCAAATCATTTCTCAATAACATTGATTTACCACGTCTTAATAACAAACAAACCAACATACTTGATTTACCTATAACACAGAATTAACTCCTCACTGCTCTCAATCATATGCCCAATAATAAATCACCAGGAACCAGTGGCTTCCCTGCTGAGTTCTAGGAACAGTTCTCGTCCATTCTAGTACCACTCTTCAACAGAATGATAAATGCAACAAAATAAAAAAATGTCGTCAAACAAGACCCCACAAATAAGATTGGCAAATTTAGAAAAACCCTAACAGAAGGAGGACTTTAAGCACAATATTTTTATCACTACTGCCTGGCAAATCAACTTTAGTACACGTTGGATCCATCCGAATCAATCAGATAAAACATGATTAGAGAGTGAACCAACAAGGATATTCACATTTCAGATTTACCATTTCTCAGTCTATCAAAACAGCCTGGTGGAAATTCCACAAAATCCCAAACACTGCTATTGCAAAATTATATTATTTTATTCCAATCTGGAAAAATCTTGACTTTTTAAACAATCAACCTCTGCACATGGAATGAAAAAGGCATCAGACATTTGTTCCATATTAATACACTGATCTTTTTTCATCACCAAATTTTGCAGGCGGGCGTAAGGTCCACAGAAAATCACCATGAAGTCGGGCATTTTGGATTGAACAAACAAATCTGGCGTGAGTTTTGGCGTTTTGACACCTGCTACAGATTTCATCCAATCGACTTCAAATTTGGTTTATGTCATGACTTTTCAATAAGTTATGTTTTCACTGACTTTTTTTGTCAGGGGGTGAAATTTCAATGATTCGCCAGAAAAAAGAATGTGCTTATAACGTCCAATCTGCCTCAAAATGTACCACAATTATCCCACGCTGAATAGAACCATATTGATAATATTTAATACTAGTCGTAGTGCCCACTAGTTCTAACAGGAAATGTCGTTTTGCATTTTGGTGTTCTGTGGCTAGTCCATTTACTCACTCCAAGTGAAATTTGGTTAGGAGAGCCTAAAAGAGTTGGTGATGCCATACAATAAAAGTTCTTCTGTTTTCCCCAGGGGCCGTGTCCTAAGCATGGTGGCGAAACAAGATGTCTCGCCATTAAATTTCAAGTAGCTGTGCCTTCCATGTCTTTACTCCAATCACTATCAAACTTGTGTGTGGGATAAGGAATACACAATAATGGTCACAGTGCCCCCAAGATGCGACAGGAAGTACCATGTGTTATACTGTAACATGCAATGCCCCCATTTTTTTCATTTGATCCACATCAAAATTGACAAACATTGGCAAAGCCATATTATGGCACTTAAAATGAATAAGCCCATCTTAAAAAGCAATCAATCAAAAAATTTGATTATAAATTATTTATTTATGTGAAATTTAACCTACAAGTAATATTGTTTGTAATTCATATATTGTATAATATCTCATTCTAATCATTACTGTTATTATTGTATTTGCAGTTTGACTGGGTTTTTATTTATTACCGTAACACCTCATATAGACAGCCATATAATTTATTTTAAAGCAACGGCTGGCTGGACCTGGTCTTCAGTCTTCACAAACGACTCGTCTTGCAAACAGTTTATATTTATGTATGGTTGTGGCATTTTTAACGTGAGTATTTTGCAAGCCTAATTTTCATAAATATGTCGAATCTGCGATTATGTGGCGCTGGCATTTAAATCGAAAAGCTCACAAGAAAACAAAGTTCACAAGTTAAATTGGTACACTAGCCGGTAACACACTGATTAACTTCACAACTTCCGCCACTTGTTCTTTGATCACTAATATCAAAGTCAGTTCGGTGGCACAGTTCTTGGAACAGACCTGATTGCCCGTCCAGTGGTTCTCTGGACGTGGATGGACCATGTGGTGTTTGTCCTGGGTTTTCCGAGACAACGCTAAGTCGGTGGGCGCATCGTGACTGCAACACTTGTCCAGCTTCACTGCCTCGTGGTGAAGCTTCTGGCGGACATGTCTTATCTTCAAAGCCATCTCAAAACAAAAAATTCTCTGTTTAAGAGTTCCAGTCGTGTCGCTTGCTCCCTGGGTCAAGTCAGCTACAATATCACCGGAAATTCATCCGTCACAGACCATTCTAGAGTTGAACGTCTTATACAAATATACTTATGGAACAGTGGTTTACAATCAAACGTTGACTCCATTTGATTCGATGTTTTATTTACAGAGAAAACTCGTTTGTAACTGAAACACATGCACAGATCATATGACTATTCGAGGCTTTTATTGTGGAAAAATATTAACAACAGAGGCTGCTTCCGGAGAACACGGTAGCGTAACTGGTGTAGCGAAGCTAAAGACTCGGTTACAAACAGCACAGAAGAATGGTTCCGCCCTCCAAATATTGATTAAGTGATTAAGTAACATGGCCAACTTTTACTGTGGTCAGAGAGCAGGGAAGAATAAACTTACAATGACATAGGTATGTTTGACAACTTATGTATTTACATTTGAAAACAAATATTTGTGATATATATATATATAAACAATGCTGAAACTGATTTCTGTGTTGTGTATCAATACTACACTGATTTACATTACAAGTCAGAGTCCTGCATTATAACTGCTGTGTTTTATGGTATATAATTATAATAGACTGACCAGTATCACCACATTAGTATTGATTAGAAACAGGAAGTAGTAGAGTCATAAAGAACTGTCATCAGAAAGTAATGACAATTTTAAATGTTAAAGGTCCAGTGTGTAAGATTTAGGTGAAAGGGAACTATTGGCGAAAATTTAATGTAGAATAATCCTCATGATGTTTTCACTAGTTTGTTTCATCTAAATTGTATGAATTGTAGTTTTTCTTTATCCCAGAAAAGACCTTCTATATTTAAATACTTTATATTAACATCGAGGGGACCCTCTCTATGGAGGCCGCCATGTTTTTTACATGAGTCCAGACTGGATAAACTAAACACCTTTTGAGTTTTTATGACAACTGAAGCTACCACAGGTTCTTTTTCATGTTTGGAAGGAGAGGGTGAGGTGAGGGGTGTTCAGCTGCAACATGCAATTTCAACACTAGATATCACAAAATCTACACACTGTACTTTTAAGTCAATATTACTTGGGGGCTTATTCACATACTGTCAGTGCCTTGGATATTAACTCACAGAGTTAAATCACATGAATTAATCGGCGAGTACAGAACCCTGAGGAATATAGTGGTTAACTTTGTTGTGCACAGATGAATCATTAATTTGCACAAATTGGAATCGATCAGATAAATAGGATTCTAAACAAGTTAGGGCGGTGCCTTTTATGCCAATTAACTGTTCTTACCTCTGTCATGAAATGTGATGATCCGATAGCGTCGAATGCTGCACTAAGATCTAACAGAACGAGGACAGACACAAACCCTTGATCTGAAGCTATTAGAAGGTCATTAGTAACGTTTGCCATGCTGTCTCTGTGCTGTGACAAGCTCTAAACCCTGACTGAAAGTCTTCATATACATTACTTTCCTGGGGAAACTCACACAGCTGATTGGCTACAACTCTCTCTAGGATGCTGGACAGGAAGGGGAGGTTCAAGTAGGAGTGCCTTTGTCCGCTCTCCAGCCTGTGGAAGACGATCTCCTGCAGCACATCCGGAGACGCTTTGCTGCGCTGGACAAGCGGTGTTCCCCAAAACAGACTTTGACCAAAGTCGGACCAACACCAAAGCTCACACCCCCGGGTCTTGAACCCCTGGAGAGTTAAGTGGTTTTAATAGATTAATTCTTCTGGAAATAACGTGCATTATGTCCCTTGTGTATTATGTTAAATGTCATCAATTTTAAGGGCCCGCTTAAAGCCTAGTACCGAGGTGGGGGAAAACAGCTGAGGGACCTTGATCAGATCCTCAGGTGCCTTTTATGTGCCCTGATAGCACGTGTGAGTATGTTTACTGTGGTACAATATTGTGTGTTGTGCCCTGAGGGCGTGTAGTTCCTGTGTGAGTTGCAGTGCGTAACTGTAATGTGGTGTGAATTAGATTGCCAGGACCTCATACTAGTTTTTTGCCCATGCAGGGGCACTTGAGGGAGAGTATAGGACTCAGACTGTGATCAGTTAACCCTGTGTTCAAAACTGTGGCTGTATGAATTAAATAATAAAGTTATAATTTTCTATTACTCCAGGTTTCCTCCTCCTTTCATTGTGTGTAAAATCCTTGTGTGCAAGCTCTCTACATTGTCACATCTGAGACAAGGTTTATTACAATATATTAGCATCAATTGAGGGCAGGAGATGGTTGATTTTATTTATAATATTTATAATTTTATTGTTAAAGAAGTTCATAAAGAGCCTTCCCATTCAGGGAAGGAGGAATACTGGGTTCAATGGAGCTGCGACTCTCTGTCTGCCTGGCTACAGTGTTGAAGAGAAACCTGTGGTTGTTTTTATTTTCTTCTATTAATGTGGGGTAATAGGCAACTCTTGCGTTGTGGAGTTCCTTCTTATATACCTTAGGACTATCTTTCCAGGATAGAAGATTTTCAACACAGTTGTCGGAGCGCCACTTCCTTTCTAGTTTTCTTAATGCTTGTTTTGTTTCACATATGCTGGAATCATACTAGGGAGCTAATTTACTCTGTTTTGAATGCCTCTTAGTTAATTATGATGATAGTTAATGTGATTAAGTTTTTGATTGAAGTTGTCAAATCTAATATGTTTTTTCAATTGTTTTATTGTTCTCATGTAATCAAGTATGGTCATGTTACCACCCTCTCAGTTGCTAGGGTTTCATCTAATATGAGACATGGCCAAAAGGTCTATTGTTATGGAATTACGGATATGAGAAAAGGGTCCCGCCCTGAATTACAGGTAAGATTTGGCACCATACAATTAGAACTGAATTGAATGATAAAGGTTTAAATGTGATTTGGGGTTTGAAAAGTGTATGTATGTATGTTGATTTATATTGTGTGTTCCAATGTACATAGTAGTACATTATTTATCACTGGCCTTAATATATTATAATAATAATAATAATAATATAATATAATGAATGCTTATCAATGATGATCATTCTGGAGAACAAAAAAGAATATAACAGAGAGCAGCCCTGGTGATTAAAAAAAAAACACTAGTTTACTCTAAAGAAGACAGAAGAAATCTTGTTGTTGTCATTACAATTTTCCTCATTAACATTTAGGTTTATCTAATTGGATTGTTTTGACTCAATAATTGTTCTATTACGTTCAAGAAATATGTCTCATTTGTACTTGTTATTATTGTTATGCTATATTGTATTTTTGAAAACGTCTTGAAAATTAGCAGGGCTAATTTTTTGCCAAAGAACTTTTACTCAAATTGGCCGAGAGATGTTTGCCTGCAACAGCCCCCTTTTGGGTGTTAGAGGGGGGGTCAAATGAATGCATGATGTGTGACACTTCATGTTGAATTTTCACTGTGTTTTATCCATTGTATTGTACAGTAAATGTTTTTGTTATGATAGTAGGGTTTGTGTCGATCTCATGATCAAAATGAATTTTTCACCATCCTCACACTCTACTGTACATGCCAATATTCATTATGTATACAGTGTGTATTACATCACATCTATACACAATTAGGAGAATAGTGTCTGCCCAAGGTCAGGTTATAGATAAAGGGCAAACTAGCACTGCACTCTCTCAGATGCCTAGACAGAGAGGCACCAAGTTCAACTCTTTTTTAAATTACCGCTGTTGCTCATGCTTGCTCGGTGTCAAACAAGTTGGATTTTGTCTTTTTTAAGATCTTGGACTTTTGTGCAGCACCCTGAGACAACTGTTTGTTGTGATACCATGCTATATAAATACATTTGATTGATTGATTGATATTGTTCCACCTTCTGGTCTCCTTGATGCATCAAGTCTACATTAAAATCTTCTGCATAAGACATCAGCTGCTCCCTGAGTTCTCCTTTCACCAGCTTCCAGAAAACGTCCAAGAAAGGCTTCCAGCTCCACTGTGATTCCAGCTCCACTGTGAGGAACCTTGGAGTGTTGTTCGACCAAGACATGTCATTTGACCCCCATATTAAACTAGTGTCTAGGACGGCTTTCTTCCATCTGCGCAATATTAMCAAAATTAGAAACATCCTGTCTAAGCAGGATGCTGAAAAACTAGTCCACGCGTTTGTAACCTCTAGATTAGATTACTG